TATCAGGATATTGCCATTTTAGATTTTGGGATTCAGGGGTTTGAAATTATGGTCGATGGACTTCAGGTTATTGAAGAATTTGGCAATTTCTCTGACTTTATGGATTGGGCTGATCAAGGGGACTGTGCATTTAACTGACGTGGTTTGGATCCGACATAAGTGATAATGGTGGGGGGTGACAAATTGGCCTATAAGGGATGTTTAATTTATCACAGGATTGTGATAAAACAGGGGGAAGATTGATTATTGATTGTATTATCGTTTTTTTTTTTATTATTGATTGATTTATTTAATATTATTTTTATAATTATTATTGATTATTATAAAAAAAAAAAAAAAAAAAAATATTCATGATCCAGAATCAACTATTTAGATGAGCAATTGAGCAAATCAAAGCTGAAAACACTAATCTGGTATGCATGGGATAGACTTTAAGACTGAGGTGTTCACCATGCAGGTACTCTCAACATGATAGGACCATGGACACTCTTAGGGTTGAGGACACGAGAGTGGGTGAGTATGGTGGTAGGTATAGGGATTATAGCTGGATTTTTTATGTGGGCCTGGGAAACAGAGTTAGGCCAGGGGTATGCAAAACCAACAACTGTCTATGGTAAGGAGAAAACTCTTGGTGTCAATTCCTCAATTTCTGATTATTCAGACATTTTACCCGGCAAACAGATGAAGAAACGCAAAATTCAACCTACAAAGGGGACAGGGATAAAAATAAGACCAAAAAGGGAATTGGATAAACTGGGAGCATGTGCAAAAAAGCGACAATACCTATTTGGGGTGCAATTGTGTTTAGCAAAGGGAGAACATATGGCATTCCAGGTACCTTTTATAGCATTAGTAAACAAAGGGAAAAAAGTGGGAGCAGAAAATTCAGATTATGAATGGTACATGACAAATGACATGAGAGATAAATCATGGGGGACAATGGTGGCATATACTGGATTAGATTGGACACCAACACCAACTACAGAGTTTGCAAGACACCATTCTAAAATAATTTCCATGACAAAGGGGATTATGCAGGGAAGTGTACCATGTCTTACAATTACAGTGGACTTGAGAGGTGAGTCATTGGACCCAAGAGACAGATCAGGGAAGAAACCTCTATGGTTTTGTTGGGGATTTCTGGTATGGGCATATGTGCCAGGAGAAGACCCTTGGGCATTAATTACTATATGTGAAGATCCAGTCAGTGTCACAAGAGAAGGGGGGCTTAACGTAGGACATGTAGGTAACACAAATCTAGTAATGGTATATAATGCAACTCTCTTACACGCAGATGATGTTTTCAGAATGGAGACAGGAATAACAGCTACAAAAAATAATTGGCTATTTATGATTGAGCAAGCTGCAAAAGCTACACAACTAAGTCAATGTATTGCTTGTATGGGACCAAGGCCTATGTTACATGCAGTACCGACTGTAGTAGATAGGGACAATCATACATGTTTAGTAGAGATTATGATGAGAGATAACCTATACCCTAACTGTTCACTATATGATAAAATATATCCGGTAACTGCCACAAATGCGACACCACCAATTTTTAATTCACAAGTAAAAGGTGAATACACCTGCGTCATTAGGAAGGTCCTTAGTGGAGAAAAAAGGGAAGTAGGACATGTAAATAGATCCTTATGCATTAGGTATGAGGATTTCACAGAAAAATTAAATGGACACAAGTTGACAGTAGCCAGAGCAGATGTGTGGTGGTATTGTGGTGGCAAGTCTTTAAGGGGATATCTACACCCTCTGTGGGATGGCATGTGTGTGTTGATCTCATTACTCATACCAATTGAAATATCTCCAGTGGATCTAGAGAAGCCAGAGATTTTGAAACAAATCATTAGTGTAAAAACCAGATCAAGAAGGGCACTGGCTAGACCAGAGGAGGGAAGTCCAGTTTATATTGATGCAATAGGTATTCCTAGGGGAATTCCAAATGAATACAAATTGGTTGATGAAATTGCATCAGGATTTGAAAACATCCCAATAATCTCCGCAATTTTTCCAGTAACCCCAAATAAGAACGTCGATCGGATCAACTACTTACATTACAACATACAGAGGCTAAGCAATTATACATATGATGGATTTGAGGCAATTCATGAACAATTATCAGCCACATCCTTAATGACCTTCCAGAACAGACTTGCTGTTGACATGATTTTAGCCAAAGAAGGCGGAGCCTGTTCATTGATTGGCCCTACGTGTTGTACGTTTATCCCAAATAATACTGCCCCAAATGGAAAATTAACAAGGGCCCTTCAGGGACTAAAGGCGCTATCCCAAGAAATGAAGGCACATTCAGGAGTAGACCAATCAATGTGGGATGGGTGGTTGGATGTGTTTGGCAGATATAAGGCACTGATAGCATCAACTCTACTATCGGTGGCTGTATTTGCAGCAATCCTGACGCTATGTGGATGCTGTTGTATTCCGTGCATACGATCCTTATGTAACAGAGTGATAACAGCCGCTGTGGAAGGGAAGGTGGCAGAAAGACAACTGCTACTAACCCAGGACCTACAGTGGGAACCAGAAGAATTGATGACCATAGCCTAAGCCATAAAGGACAATCATCAGAAGAACGGGTGAGTATGGCCTGTGATATTGTCAGAATATCACCAGAGGAGTTGTGAGTATGCTTTATGATATTATCAAAATATTTTAATCAAAAATGTATAACTGCTTGCATGTAAATAACGCACATAACCTTGCAAACTTGTAAGAGGGACTTGGGAAAATCGGGGATGCGATAAAAAATTTATAAAAATTAAAAATTAAAATAAAAAATTACATAATTCAAATTGATGCACGACACAAACATATTCTTTCTCCACAGCTCTTGCAACTATTGTTTTTGTTACACAGACTAGACACCGCAGCACACCCACATATAGATTGTTTTATAGGATCACTTCAATGTATGTAGTTTAGGGTGAGTTGGATGCTCAGTCCGCCCAGAGGCCTTTGGGGGGGGTCTGAAGTAAGGGCTGAGTGGAAGACCACCACATTTTTCATAATGTCACATGGGGTGGTTTAGGAGTTCACAGATCGTCGTGAAGACTGGGATTAGACTGAGTATAGGATGTAATGCTGGATCAACTGATGAAGATGGGCCATCTGAGACGAGAGTGATGGATGTCCGAAGAGTTCCTCTCCGGCCAACAGGGGGACTGTTGGAATATTGAACTCCTGGACCAGTTAAAATTAAAATCAGTTTAGTATTGTTTCTGTTGCCAAATTAGCACTTGTTTGTGTAAATCTCAAAGAGCAGTGAGTTCAAGGTTAGTCTGTGTGAGAATGGGAGGGGGACAAGAGGGAGACAAGTGGTTATCAGAGCAGGTGCAAACGTTGGCAGCGGGCCAGAAGGAGTCATAGGGTCCATACAGTTGTGATGTCAAGTGACCTTGGATGTAAAGTATAAATGATGTGCAGAAGTGGTCACGGGGGACTTTTTCTTTTTCTTCTGACAAGGAGCAGTGAGACGTCCCCGGGGGCCACTCCTTATCTAAACGCGAAGCGAGACCTGTTCGCGGACCGTTATCTTGTAATATTGCTTGCAAAATCTTCAATATAACCTTTTGAAATCAGGTTTGGTATCTGTCATTTCTATTACTGTTTTAACATTGGTTTTTGTCTCTTGTTGAACTAAAAGGACCTGCAGAACGAAGGGCTGCTGTGTTTGCAGCCTCTCTGCTGCTTCTGGGGCAGGGGAATTCTGACAAATTACAGCAGTTTTCAAAGCAATATCTGGAACCACCATCGACTGATGAAGTTTGGTATTTTACTGAAGATTGTTGACAAGTTTTATGAAAGATCTGAACATGTTTTGAGTTTTCTGAGTTTTTTGAAGTACTGAGTGAAGTACCGAGTTTAAGTATTGCGTTATGATGTTATGTTGCTGTTTATCGATCCTGATGGTCACACGTGAATGTATGACCAGAGGGGGGAATATGAGATTTCATAACACTTTGAAGCAACTTTTGTTCAAGTTAAACTCATCATTCTATCAATGTGCAGAAGCCTGTACTTTTCCACTACTTATTTTGACTATCTCTGCGGACACTGTGGCAACTGCTGATTGGAGGTCTCTGTTTCTCCTGAGTATATTACAACTTGCTGTCGTAACATCCCTTGTTCGTGTTGTTCGTGCTGTCTCTACCATCGACAATAAAACATGTCTTCTGTCTGAATGAAAGACACAATCCCAGACTTTGTCATCTT